AGGGCAGGAGGCTCGGGTACATTCCCCTGGCAGCTGGGGAGCTGAGGGACAGGGTCACTGCAGGTTCCTCCATCACAGGCATTTCCCAAAGCTTTAAACCTGCACCGCTATTGGATAAGTGGCTTAGCCCTGCCCTGGCACTGGTCCCCAAGCGGTGTGGAGTGCTCCTCCAGGCCCAGACAAACCCCAGAGGTGCTCAGCCACTGGGGACTGCCCAGAACACAACACAACACACCCACAGCCAGGCTGGCCCCAAGGGTGCTCCAGTCACCCCTCACAGGCAAGGCAGCTCCTTGCCAAAACTGAGGAGCCTGCGAGAGCAAAAACCAGGAGCTTGACCCTCCCCACCCACTTACTTCCCAGGCTCAAGGGAGGTTTAGGGCCACAGGGCCATGGGGTTGCAGCTCCTGGCTAGCACAGTGCTGTGCTTCCCAGCTCACACTGCTGACCCCAGCCAGGCCTTGAGCCACATCCTGGGATAGAGCTGGGACAAAGCGGGGGAGCTGCTCAGGGCTGCACTCCCTTCCCTGCTAGTTCTCACCATGGGAACAGCCACCCGCTTCTAATTTTATCCCTAATTGCCTGTGTGGAGCTTTGGTGGTTTTCCTGTTGTTAATAGGGACTTGGGGTCAGCAGGAGCCATGCGGCACGTGTGGTAGTGGCACAGTATGGTTGTATCCCTTCCACATGTCCCAGTCCCCACCACGCACAGGGAAAGGCTGAGCCACTCCTGGACTATGCTTTCCTAAAACCGAAATAAAATAAAGGCCTTGTTCCTCCAAGTCCCCTCTCTTTGGGTCCTGGTGCCAAATTAGCGTTGCTGGAGGTGGGGAATGGGGGAGGAGTTAATGAGCCACAGTCGATGGACCCTGTCTCTGCCACTGAGCTTCCATGGGACCCTGGGCATGTCACCCGGTGTCCATGCTGTGCTGGAGGCAGCAGGGGAGAGCCGAGAGAGCCAGGGGCTCCAGCAAGACCGTCCAAGGGCAGGGTGCTGCTCCACCCTGCCGGATGAAGGTCCCCTGCCCCAAATGGCAGGCACGCTGGGCGGGCTGACCCTCACACAAACCTCCCTCCTCGGTTGTTTTTCCACCAGAGCTAGGCTGGAACTGGTCTCCGCCTGCTGCAGATGTTTGGCAGGAGTCTGCAAGTGGGAGGCCAGCAACGCTGATGCTTCCAGCCCCCAGCCATGACACTGCCACTGGCCTCCCTGGCTGTCCCCAAGTCATGGGCCAGGGGCTGCAGAGACCTCACACTGGACTGCAGGGCCAAGGTGAGCACAGGGAACGTGAAACCAGCAGTGGGGACCACGTACTGCTGCTGGCTGGGCATGTCCCAGAGCTGAGCGAGGAGCTGCTGCCACACAGAGTGATGGGGACAGTGCCAGCAGCATGCCAGGGATGACAGCGAGGGACTTTGGTAGCAGCAGGGAGCATCACCCCACAGGGCAGTGGCTCTGCTTTCCCTCTGGCAGCCAGGCACAGCACCAATCCCAGGGCAACCTCTGAACTTTTGTTCTAGGTGTGCAACAGGAGGCGAAAGCAAAACAAGCTCTGCTGAGAGACAGGGCCCAGCTCCCTCGATGCCAGGTTTCCTCTGCGCTGCCGCCCCTGCAGCTCGCCCAGCCCCCAACCCCTGCCCCAGTGCTCCCACAGGTGCTGCCCCAGTTTGGCGGCAGCCTCCCCGCTGGGCAGGGTCCCCAGTGCCTTTTGGAGTGGAGACCTCCCCTCCCCAAGTGACCCTGCAGCCCCCAGGCTATGGCTCCAGCATCCCCATCCCCTTCCTCTCCCAGGCAAAGATTTGCCCCCTGCTGAAATGCCCCTGGCCTGTGTCCTCCAACCCAAAGGGGACAGGGGCTACCAAGCAGGGGATGGGATATGGGTTGCTGCTGGGTGCTGTTTATGTCCTCTCCAGCATGAGGAGACCCCCAATTTGCTCCTTCCCAAGGCTGAGGAAGGATGAGCCCACCGGCCGTAGTGTTTTTGGTGGGCTCCTGGAGAGCCAGCTGCAGCCTGGCATGCAGAAGGTGGTTTGGGACCCTCTGCACCTCATTTTGGGGCCATAGGCCTTGTGTTTGGGTCCTGTATCAGCTGTTGCTCCAGTCAATGCTTCCCTTGCAGCACCCAAGATGTTCAGGGTTGGCTCCTGCACACAATTGCTGATGGGACTCCCCAAAACCTTCCTGACAAGCCACAGGGTCTGCAATGCCCCATCCCACAGGGATAAGACAGCCGAGTTGGTGCTGGCAGGGAAGCATCCCAGCAGATGCTGAATCACCTCAGCACCCGCATCGTGCCTGCCTGCTGCAGTGTCACCGCTGCAGGACCCGCTCCCCAGGGGGCAGGAAAAGGCGTTTTTCCTCGGCAGAACGCCACACAAACGCCGCCTGCGAGCTCCAGCGCTGTTCAGGCACTGAAGCCAGGGCTGTGGGGGGATTTGCTTATCTTGCTCAGTCCTGGAGGAGGAATTTCCAACTCGACAGCGCAGAGCAGTCTAATTCTGTGCCCCTCGTTTTCATGCTTTAAAAATGTCCTGGCTTCTCCCTGCTCTTCCCCACTGATGTTTCACAGTTTGTTGTTGCCATGAGCAAATCCAACTTTCCAAGGCTTTGCAATTCCTTTCCTGGAAATGTTTGCCATGGGCTTGAAACTTCCCAGAAAACTCCTACCATGAAAGGAAACCTCTTGCATCCCCAGGCTGCTCATGACAAGGGGCTTGGGAGGTGGGAACAGCCACTGCCCATGGCTGCAGGGACAGGGATGGGGGGCGGGAGGGTGTTTGTATGCTTTTCCTCTGGTGTTTTGCTCCAAACCAGGCTTCTTTCTCAAACCACTCCAGTATTTGTAGCTTCTTCCCTATTGCTCTTACAGTGAAGCTGTTCAGCTCCGGTTCCTGAACCCAGATGCCGTTTCCTGTCCCCACACCCGATGGCATCCCCAGGGAAGGGACACTGGGGTGGAATGAAGAGGGGGAGGCAGAGCAGTGCTGCTCCCACCCAGCACAGCCATAATCTCCTCCAGCTGCAGCCACTGCACTGTGCCAGCAAGGGAGGGAGAGTGGAAACAGGAAAATAACTCTGGTTATTTGCCTCAAATTCTGCAACTCGAGAGGGGAGAGAGAGACAACAGCTTGAAACAGAAATTTTATTCTGGGCAGGCAAGGAATATGTGTCTGCTCCCTCCCCAGCACAACCACAGCCCGCAGCTCCAGCACAGACATTTCTGCCCCATGGGGGCTGCGTCCCAGCTCTGGGCTCCCTCCCTGGGAAGGGAGGCATTTGCCCAAGGTCCTGCTTCCCTGGGAACCGCCTGCCCCTCCCGTCCCAATGCCAAAAGCAAACCCGATGCTGCCTGTCATGGATCAAGCCACACAGCGCTGGGGCGCGAGGTTTACACCACCATAGGGCTGGTTGCTCTTTCCAGCAGACAAAATGGGGTTTAAACAATTCCCACCAGCACCACCATAGCATTTCCCCACATCCCAGCCTGATTCATCTCATTATTCGTGACCTTTCTCGCTGTGAGTCACTGGGACGCCGTCTGGCCCCAGGACTCCTGCCACACGCCAGAGCCTGGCACGAGGCTGGCGGCCGGGAGCGATGCCGGTTGCTGAGCGGGAGAAAAGCAGTGGCTGCCAGAAAGTCCCTGGGGATCCTTCCTGCTCACTGTCACTCCCACTATCGCAGTCAGATTTGGGTCTGCACCCCTAAAGCATGGGGCCGGGCTGGCAGTGTGCCTCCTAACAGGGCTGTGGTCAGTGGGCTCGAAGGCCGGGTGGGAGCCGCGGGGAACTCAAGCTAAGGCAGTGCAGGAGGTCAGCACGGGGAGGGTTTCTGGAGGGGCTGCAGGTTGTCTCAGATCCTGTGGACAGAGCCACACGACATGCTCACGTGTAGAATAAAGTCAATTTATTTCATAGCAAGGAGCAATCTAAGAGCCTATGTGGTCCCTGCCACTGCGTGGGCACAGTCCCCCTCTGCTCCTCCCACTTTACCTGCCCAGGTGTGGGGTGCACAGACCCCCTCAGTGAGGCTGGCATACTGAGGGAGCAGTGGGGCCCCTCGCCGTTGGCAGGAGCACCGAGTGCAGCTGGTGTGCAGGCAGGCAGGCAGGAGCTGCCCACACTCCTCTGCCCCGCAAGACCTGGAGGAACCAAGCGCCCTATAGGGTTTTCCTACAATTTCAGCAGATACCTGGTAGAGGAGAAAGTGGTGCCAGCTGCACATCTGCTGTGCAGCCAGGATAGGCTCTGTCACCGATGCTTTTAGCTGAGTCTCTGAATGCATAACCAGAAGCCACATCCATCTTGCTTTGACCCTTCTTTCCCATCTACCCCAACAGCTGGGACTCCAAAGAAGAAATAACTTTGCTGGGCATTTCCACTCCTTGCTGCTTGCCTGGGCAGAGGCGCAGTCACCAGTGAAGGTGAGAGCAGCCTGCCTGCTTCATGGGAGCGAGTCGTTTCTAGCTGGACATGTCCGCAAAGTCACACATCTTCCTGCTGCTGGCCATGCCACCATCTCCCCGACCATCCCCGTAAGCTCAGTGGGTAAATAGGAGGCAGTGGGTTCACCTGGCAAGACCTGGGCCACCCTGGCTCTTGCCTGTCTCTCCCCAGCTCTTGGGGTGCCCCATTGGGCTCCGCAGCTGTGGCCCCCAGCCCGGCAAGCTGGCTGTCCCTCGTTGCCCCTGCTGCAGCCTCACACGATGCCGTTGCGCATAGGGTGAGTCCGTACCCGGTAGATAATGATGGCGGTGGCTGGGCAGAGCACCAGGGCCGTCATGACAAGGATAGTGGCCAGGATGATCAAGACGATGACCCAGACATCCAGGATGTGCTTAGGGAGGGTGGCAGGACCTGCGAGGTTAGAGACATCCATCCTGAAAGGGAGAGGCAGAGGGATGATGGGGGAGCCCCCTCCATACCTCCTGTATACTGGGCCTGGAGAGCCAGAAACCCCCCAATTGCTCTGTACACCCCACTGCTCTCCCCAGAGAAGCCCCTGCGGCCACGTCCAGCCTTGACTTC